TTCAGGGACCGGGCAGGCAGCCCACAGTCCCCAGGGGTCTTGGCTCGGCCCCCAAACTCCTGATCTCTTCCCTCCGATATGGCACTTGAGAGAGGTTGGATCACGAGCGAATAAACAATTGCCAAAAGGCTTCGACCTCTTGAAGAAGATTACCACAGGTGATAATTTCCACACACAGATCGTGTCTTTGCATTCTCGTTATGGGTTCCAAGGGGCCTGTCCTGACAATTCGTTCTTCTCTGTTCAGGACGTCCTCACGGTGGTGGTGGAAGACCTCAGACTTTGCACCGTGAAGCCCTGCGAAGATATAGAGAGGAGGTTTTGCTTCGAAGTCGTCTCACCCACGAAGTTAGTTGTCGGGATTTCCCTCAAACTCATTCAAGATTAAATGTCTCTTTGCACTTTACTGCATCGGTTGCACTTCACCTTTGTTCAGTCGCTCTTTACGGCACCCATTCGAAGTTTGCCGCACCCACTAGCGCTTCACTTCATCCAAGTGCACTTTACTTCATTACCTTTCAGTTTATCCAATTGCACTCTACTTTGTTCAACTGCACTCTACTGGATTCATTTGCACTTTACGTCATTCAAGTGCACTTTACTTCGTTCAGTAACACTTCACCTTATCCCTCTGCATATTGCTCCGTTCCATGTTGTGATACCGTAAACCGCCTAAATTACTTTTTTAACTCTATCTGCACTGAGGCCGACCTGCCACTTCCTCAATTAATCATCGGATGCCTTTTCCACCCCTCGCAGGAGTTGCATGCTGCAGGCCGATTCGGAGAAACTGCGCCAGGCCTGGATCCAGGCAGTCCAAGCTAGCATAGCTTCTGCATACAGAGAGAGTCCCGACAGCTGCTATATTGAGGTGAGGGTCAGGGGTCAGGGATGCTCTGTGGTCATTTCAATCCATTGAATAATGGAGCACCATTTCATATTTTAGAAACACATCCCCTTCAGGATTTCACAGATGAAAACTGGGACATGCTTGGAGCACCCTAATTCTCATACCAAGTTTCACACTCCATATGCATGCTATCACACATGGCTGAAGATTGTGTTTTTTGTCCTTCAGTCTCTACTCGCTTCAGCACTAGTTTCCTTAATTGCCAGTCAGGGTGACTGACCCACCTTAGGAGCAGAACAGGTGTGTCTATTTGTAGGCGTTTTCCTGTATCACCATCTAGCGGTAGAGTTTGGTAGCACATATGACCATCTTGAATCATAATGCATGAAAGACAAAGACATTTTCTTTTCCTTTCCTGGGAAACCCTGTTTGGTTATCCTAGATTTCATAAAATAAGTACGTAAAATCGTGGATAGAAATAATTTTTTTAAAAAAAATTAGGTGGGTGACACACAGGGGTCATTTCGTAGAAAAAGAGGTGCAGGAGCTCATTAGCATAACTTATTTGCATACGCCACACCTCCCGGCATAACTGGAAGTGTGTCAGAAGGCAACACCCACCACTCAGGCTCCACTGGACTGTTTTGGATTGCTAGCTATTGGGGGGAACATGCAGATCTGTCATCGCAGAGGAGGGAGAACTTGTACCTGAATAAAACTTGGTCTTAAAGGTGCCACTGGACTGTTTTGGACCAGGCGGCCCGAGGGAGCGCTGTAACTTACCTGGCTGCTTCTTGCCCTGACTGAGGGCTGCTGGGAACAGGGGGTGGGGCTTGTTGCATGTGCCCGCCCCCTGGGCTCTTTACTGCCGGAGCTCCGCTCCTGTGAGCTCCCACAGGAAATGGCCCCTGGTGACACACCTGGCAAACGCAGCCCTTCTCCTTTTGGCCCAGAGCAGGGCTGGCCAACCTTGCTTAACGCAAGAGCCACACAGAACAAACGTCAGGTGTTTGAGAGCCGCAAGACGTGAACAAATATTACACGTCCTTCTCGGGAAATGTGCAAATTTGCTTTTTATTAACATGAATTGAGACCGACAAAAATAATATCAAAAGCGGTGAAGGCAGATATTGATAATGGTATTTACTTGCCCAATGATATTTGTTTGCTAATGATATTTCGCTTCCCCAGCCGCCCTGCCGGGAGCCGCACGATATGTGTGAAAGAGCCGCATGCGGCTCCTGAGCCACAGTTTGCCCTAGGTCAGGGGTGTCGAATTCATTTGTTATGAGGGCCGGATCTGACATAAATGAGACCTTGTTGGGCCGGGCCATGTGTGTCATAAAACGTAATGCCAGGTAGTAAAGCTGTAAACTTTATAAAGGACACAAAGGTTTTTTTTTAACTTAAAATAAAAGCGTGCTTAAAACACTAGCACTCTTGCAATATTTTGTTTATTTAACAGTGTCTGATAACTGACACCTCTTGCTGTGAATTATTGCATCAAAATGTCTGTGCTGTTGCAATCTTGAGTATGCAGTTCAGGTGTGTATCCGTAAGCTGCAAACCTACGATGACGCAGCAGCAGCGGAACTGGAAGAAGAAGCGGAAGACAGCCAGTTCCATTGCGGGCCTGATAGAAGCCCTCCAGGGGGGGGGCTGACCCGGCCCCCGGGCTGCATGTTTGACACCCCTGACCTAGAGCCTCCATCACAGGGGCAGGGCATCTTTTCTCTCGCTTGTTAGCAACCCCGCTTTGCATAAGAAGCAGTTATCGTCTCCTTCGAGGCACGTGTGACAGCCTTTGGCTCTCTCTCTTCCCTGCAGAGGCTGGACCGAACTGCCTCCCCTTCCACCAGCAGCATCGACTCGGCTACCGACTCGAGGGACCGGAGTGCCAAGGGGGAGACCATCCTGCAGAGGGTGCAGAGCATCCCGGGCAACGACCAGTGTTGCGACTGCGGGCAGGCCGATCCCCGATGGGCTAGCATCAACTTGGGCATCTTACTATGCATCGAATGCTCAGGGATACACAGGTACTGCAGGCAGGCAGGTTCAGGAAAGACAACAGGAAATACTGCTTTACGCAGCGAGTGATTAAAGTGTGGAATTCGCTGCCAGAGGATTTAGGGATGGCCATAGGTATAGACCGCGGTGGCTCAGAGGTTAAGACGCTGAGTTGCAGACCAGAAGGTCCGTAGCTCAGCCGTTCGAGACCCGAGTGCCGCGTGACGGAGTGAGCTCCCGTCTCTGGCCCCAGCTCCTGCCAACCTAGCAGTTCGAAAGCAAGGAATTGCAAGTAGATAAATAGGTACCACTTCGGTGGGAAGGTAACAGCGTTACGTGTGCCTCGACCACATGACCATGGAAACATCTTCGGACAGTGCTGGCTCTTTGGCTTGGAAACGGAGATGAGCACCACCCCCTAGAGTCGGATTCGACCGGCTTTCGAGCAAAGGAAACCTTTACCTTTACCTTTTATAGGTGTAGACAGCTTTAAAAGTAGATTGGACAGGTTCATGGAGGAGAGGTCTATCAGAGGCTACTAGCCGTGGTGACTGAAGGTTACCTCCACATTTAGAGGCAGTCAACCTCTGAATCCCAGTGCCCGGAGGCAAGATCAGGGGAAAGTCTCAGCCTTTGTACTCTGTTGTTGGACCTCCAGAGGAATCTGAGGACATCCAATAAAGCTGATGGGCAGTAGGTTCAGGATGGACAAAAGGAAACACTACTTTACACAGAGAGTTATTAAAATGTGGAATTCACTGCCAGAGGATGTTGTGGTGGCCACAGGAATAAACAGCTTTAGAAGAAGTTAGATAGATTCATGGAGGATAAGTCTGTCAATGGCTACCAGCCATGGTGACTAAGGGGAACCTCCACATTCAGAGGCACTAATCCTCTGAATTCCAGAGCGAGGAGGCAAAATCAGGGGAAGACCTCGGCCTCTCTGCCCTGTTGTTGGCCCTCCAGAGGAACTGATTGGGCACTGTGTGAGACAGGATGCTGGGCTAGATGGATCCTCACTGGTCTGATCCAGCAGGGTTCTTCTTAGGCTCTTATCAGGGGAAGGCCTCGGTCTCTCTGCCCTGTTGTTGGCCCTCCAGAGGAACTGCTTGGCCACTGTGTGATACAGGAGGCTGGACTGGAGGGACCACTGAAAAGAAACAGCAAGTCACTGGTCAGGATGACGTACGGATGTTGGATTCTGCACATCTGCAGAAACCCCTCAGCTGTGTTTAATACACACAACGGAATTCCCATTGCACCTACAGTTACTCTCTATTCTGCATCTCCCCCACAGGAGCCTGGGAGTTCACTGTTCTAAAGTGCGGTCCCTCACGCTAGATTCCTGGGAGCCAGAATTACTGAAGGTAAGGCCTGAATCTGCAGTGCTAAAACAGAGGGAGTGGGGGAGAGAGGCAGGCGTGAGAAGGGCTAGAGGTAGAGTGGTGTGTGCAGGCCTGTAGATCAGCAATCGTCATGTTGTACCCCCAAATGGAAGGCCTGTCAGGTTGGATCTCAAACTGAAAAGCAGGAGGGGGGGTAGGTGTTAAAAGTTGCCTGGGGCTCAGGCAATAGAAACAAAGAGCTGGAAGGGACCCCAAGAGTAATCTAGTCCAACCCTCTGCACACTGCAGGAAAATTTACAGCTACCTCCGCACGCACCCCCAGAGAACTGCTGCTGTATGCCCAGAGGAAGGCAAACCCCCCCCCCCAAACCTTCAGGATTCCTAGGCCGGTCTGGCCTTCAAGAAAATTCCTTCCCGGCCACAAAGGGGCAATTGGCATTACCCTGGGAATATAAGGGAGGGCCACGAGAGCCGAGCTCTGTCTCTTCCCTTCCTGCCTTCCTCTCAAGAACTGCCTAAATTCATAGAATCACCATTGTTGTCAGAGGTCCATCTCGCCTCTGGTTAAAAGCCTCCAAAGAAGAGGAGTCCCTCACCTCCCGCATGCTTAGGGAAGGCTCAGGAGGGAGGACGGGCAGATCAGAGCAGGACCTTCTTGGGGAGCAGCTTTTAGAGGGCAATCATTAATAATTATCATACAGCATTGTGTGCAGAATAGCCAGGCGATCCTAAGATTGTCTGGCAGCTGCAGGTTCCAGCTTTTAGTTTTATGCTAGACTTATTTTTAGGGGCTGAGAGAGCTCTGAGAGGACCGTGACTGGCCCAAGGTCACCCAGCTGGCTTCATGTGGAGGAGTGGGGAATCGAACCCAGTTCTCCAGATCAGAGTCCGCCACTCGTAACCACTGCACCAAATTAGCTCTTTTAGAGGGTCTTTTTGGGGGTTGTGGAATGGTATGGCGCAGGGGTCACTTTGTAGAAAAAGAGGTGCAGGAGCTCATTAGCATAACTTATTAGCATAACTTATTTGCATATGCCACACCCCCTGACATCACCGGAAGTGTGTCAGGAGGCACCATCCACCGCTCAGGCGGGGAGGAAGAAGTGGACACCAGGAAACATCAGTGGGCACCGTGTTGGGGATGACTAGTCTAGGAATATTCCAGTCCAGTCCTAGTCTAGGAATTTCAAGTCAAGTCTTTAGAGACCAACAAGATTTCTGGGGCATAAGCTTTCAAGAATTAAAGCTCCATCACACGTGAGATATGGACATCTCTGTGTCTCTAAGGTGCTACTCAGAGGTCATTTCGTAGAAAAAGAGGTGCAGGAGCTCATTAGCATAATTCATTAGCATAACTCGTTTGCATATGTCACACCCCCTGACATCACCGGAAGTGTGTCAGGAGGCACCATCCACCGCTCAGGCTCCACTGGACTGTTTTGGATTGCTAGCTATGGGGGGGGCGCAGATCTGCCCTCACAGAGGAGGGAGAGCTTGTACCTGAATAAACCTTGGCCTTAAAGGTGCCACAGGACTGTTTTGGATTGCTAGCCGGGGGAAGGGAACGCACAGATCTGTGCAGGAAGGAAGGAAGGAAGGAGAGAAAGAAAGAAAGAGAAGGAAAGAAGGAGGGAAGAGGGAAAGAAAGAGAAGGAAAGAAGGAAGGAAAGAGGGAGAGAAGGAAATAGGGAGGGAAAGAAGGAGAGAAGGAAAGGAGGGCTGCTTCTTGCTCCTTGTGGCCCGAGGCTGCTGGGAGCAGGGGGCGGGGCTTGTTGCATGTGCCCGCCCCCTGGGCTCTTTACTGCAGGAGCTCTGGTCCTGTGCGCCCCTGCAGGAAATGACCCCTGGTATGGCATAGCCCAATCCTGTCAAACCTCGGAAACGAAGCTTGATCGGTTCTTGGATGGGAGACCACCAAGGAAAACTCTGCAGAGGAAAGCAACAGCCAGCCACCTCTGCTTCTCACTCGCTTTGAAAAGCCCCTCGCTGGAGTCGCAGGAAGTTGGCTGCGACTTGACGGCACTTATGTCCGTAGCATAACCCCTTTTGTCCTCCCCCCCCCTTTTTGCTTACAGTTGATGTGCGAGTTGGGGAACGCCACCATGAATCAGATATACGAGGCGCAGTGCGAAGAGCTGGGACTGAAGAAGCCCACCGGAGGGAGCTCAAGGTACGGCTTGGCCCACTTCAGTCCCCCCCCACCACCCTATGATTCCCCAGAAGGCCCCCTTGAAACAACTCTTGGTTTTCCATACGAGAACGTCTCCCCCTCCTGCCGACACACACCTCCTTCTGCCCCTGCCCCTGGCCGCCTGGTATGTCTTCGCCCTTTGAAATCAGATCTATCTTCCGCTACTAAATCAGACATTTGGCTTCACCTGATCTAATGTTATCTTCTGTCGCCCTGCACAGTAGGGTCCCCGGGTTGGGAAATTCCTGGAGCTTTGGGGGCAAAGTCTTGGGAAGGGGCATGAACCCAGCAGGGATGTGATGCCTCAGAGTCCACCCTCCAAAGCTGCCCTGTTCTCCTGGGGAACTGCTCTCTGTCGTCTTGTTATAGATCCAGAGGAATTAGCTGTGTTAGTCCGTCGCTGCAAAATAGTAAAAAGCCCGGTAGCACCTTTAAGACTAACAAACTTTATTGTAGCACAAACTTTTGAGAAACACAGCTCTCTTCGTCGGAGGCATGGATTGTGAGTGAGTCTACATTTGACTATCACATAAATTAGGGGTTTTTTTTTTGTTATTTCCATAACCTTGTAAAAAATCTCAGAATGAATTCTATTAAATCCTATTTAAACTATATTTTAAGAATCATGTAAACATTATAAGAGAAAACAGAATCAAGTCAAATCTCACCCACCCCTTTCCTTGTGAGCAGAGAGCAGAAATCCCTGAGCAGCCTGTTAAAATGTTGTGCGCCAGCACCCCCTAGCGCAGCTTAGAGGGAACTATGGAGACAAGTAGGACCAACTTCAGTGTTTCCCCCTCCACAGGCAAGACAAAGAAGCCTGGATCAAAGTCAAATACGTAGAGAAGAAGTTCCTGAAGAAGCTGCCCAGCGCAGAGACCCTGGCTGAGAACGAGAGGAAGCCCCGGCGGTGGAGTGTAAAGAAATGCCAAAGGCGCAACAGTTCCACAAAAGCCCCCACCGCCCGTAGGAAGTACCGGCACGAGGCAGGGAATGCATCGCCGGCAGCACACTCTTCAGGTGGGGAATCGCTGCAACTTGCCCTCTCCCTCCTCGTCCCTCTTGCCTGCCTGAGATCTGGGTCACCGAGCTGTGCTAGAACACAAGGTGGTGGTGGGGAGAGATTTGGGGTTCCCTGTTTTGTTTTTGGTTTTAAACTGAAAACATTTGAAATTATTATCGTAAGCTGCCTTGAACCACAAAGAAAGGCAAGATAGAAAATGTTTAATAAAGAAATATAAGAAAGAAAGACAATAAGAGGCTCAGAGGAGATAATTGTGGGGGGGGGCTTCTTTTGGGGATAGGAAACAATGGCACGGGTTTATTTTTGTACTTACGCAAAAGGCACATTACCCACCGCCCCTTTGCCTGCAAGAGGATTGGATCTCGATCTGTTCAAGACCTTTGAGTCAAAAGAAGAGTCAGCTACGTAAGATAACTATCTCCCCCCCCCACCCTTCCGTCAATGCTTTCCAAGGAGGTTTACGTATCAAATTTAAAGTGTGCAAAATTAGGCAGGCGAAAATGGACAGCGGGATACTATCAGCCGCAATATCTCATCCGGATGCCCCCACCCCCGTCACCTCTGCGTTGAGACTTAGGATCTCATTACACCTTATGTGCAATTGGCAGAAACAGAGAACCGGCAGCGAGACAAACAGCACGCCCTAGTGGCCATTTTTGTTGTTGCAAGTGCACAGGATGAACGGGTCGGAGGGCTGAAGGCTCCCCCGTCCCGGTGCGCCCTGCTCCAGAGCTGATTTGCCTCCCTCCCCCAGTGTTTTTAAGTAGGGTTGCCATATTTCGAAAAGCAAAAAAAGAGGACATATTTCCCGACTGACTAATTCAAACAACTGATCGCTATGACAAATCTCATTTGAAGCACCCCTGCCCTTTACGCTGAAGCTTGCCTCCCCTGGGGGATCAGAGGGCAAAACAGGCTCAGCCTCCCAACCCAAAAAGAGGACGTTTTCATCAGGGTTTTTTTTTAAAAAAAAAAAGGCCAAAAGAGGATGGACACCGGAAAAAGAGGACACGTCCTCTCAAAAGAGGACATCCGGTAACCCGGTTTTCAGCCTTGACTTCATGGCCCAGGCTAGCCTGATTCCATCAGATCCGGAAAGCTAAGCAGCGTTGGCCCTGGTCAGCACTTGGATGGGAGACCTCCAAGGAAGTCCAGGGTCTACGAGGCAAACCACCTCTGTTCGTCTCTTGCCTTAAAAACCCTCTTTTTAAAAGATGAGTCCCAGCCTGCAATGCTCCCTCTAAGGTGTGGAGTCTTGTGAGCAAAATCCTACTTGGTGAGCGACTGGCATTAAAGCTGTGAGCGGGCGATTTGGCTGCTGCATGAATTAGTTTGCTCTGGAGCCCTGCTTCCTGAGCGAAGACAAAAATGTGTGAGCTGGAGGCTAAAAAACTGTGAGCTGGCTCGCACTAACTCAGCTTAGAGGGAACACTGGACTCCCAGGTCAAATTGGGTTTGGAGAACCTCTCTACCTGACTTGCATTTCACATATTATGTAAGGAGACCTTTAGCTTGCCCTGAGCTGTGGGTATTGTTATCTCTACTAGTGCTGGATAAGCTATAGAGGTATTACTGAATTTTGTAAACGCAGTTTTGATTTGAAAATTCCTGGGTTTTGATGTGGGCTCTCTCCCCTTGGGATGCAACTGCAGTGGTCTGCCAGTGAGAAACGATGGAAATGTTACCGTTCAAATGGATCTCTGTGTGGGGTTTTTTTGCACCCAAAAGTAAACTAACAAATCAAGGATGATAGCAAAGAGAGCAGATGAGGTTAAAAGGTGCACCGTGACAACGTCTGATCAATGGAAAGTCAGGACAGAAGGCCGATTCACACTTCCCTAATGTCCTGTTGGGAGTTTCAGGCCAATGTAGAGATTTCCATGCCAGGAGCAAAGCCAGTAAGACCTAAAAGTAAGAGTTGGTATTGGATCTGAACTTAATTTAAAAATTATCATGTTTAACTTTCTTACACGCCCAGGGAAATGCCGATCACCACTTTGGGATCAGGAAGCAGTTTTCTCCAGGCCAGTTTGCCCGGGGATCCTGGAGGGTTTTTGTTTCCCGCCATCCTCTGGGCATGGAGTAGGGGTCACTGGGGGTGTGTGTGTGGAGGGAGGTATTTGTGAATTTCCTGCATTGTGCAGGGGGTTGGACTAGATGACCCTGGAGGTCCCTTCCAACTCTACGATTCTATGATTCTATACCTTGAAAAACTTGACGTGTTAGAGGTATCCAAGGAATTTTGAGGAAGGCAATGACCGATTCCACAAAAGCAGTTGTTACGCCCTCAGTCTCCCATTTCCCCCGGTTGTACTGCTCAGTCTCTCACTATTTGCTGGGCGGCAGCATTTTGACCCGGATCTCCCTTCGATTTTCCCCGCGTCTTCTTGTTCCTTATTTTTGTTACGACGTTGAATTTCTCCCCAAGCTCACTTCTCCCCCCTGCTAATTCCATCCATGCCATGCGCCATCAAGCATGTAATTTTCCAATGTTTTTTTTTGTGAGTCAATAAATTGGCATTGTACACGTTACATAAATGTACAAAGACAAATATGGTCACAGTCCATAGACATGAAAAGATAGAGCCACAGGAACTGTGTAAAGTGCGCTCAGTGTTTCTTTAACGATAACAATAATGTTATAGATATGAAAATTACAAAAGTGATACTGATACACTCAAATTGTAAATCCAGTCACATATGGCAGAAGATAACGATGACGACGGGACGGTGGTCTCCGGAATGTGATGCCGTTTCGACAAACGTCTTCTTCTGACCAAGAATCTATAAGCTTATACATGATATAATACATATGAACATTAGTACTTACATCTTAGGCTCCATCTTTTCATGTTACTTAAATGCCATACATTACACATGTAAGACCAAGATTTGAGTCCAGTAACACCTTAGAGAGCAACAAGATTTTCAGTGCATTGGCTTCCCAAAGCCAAAACTCCCGTTGTCTCTCTAAAGCTTGCGTGTTGTATGTTAAGTGCCGTCAAGCCACTTCCGACCATTGGCGACCCTGTGAATAAATGACCTCCAAAATGTCCTATCCGTAACTGCCTTGCTCAGGTCTGGCAAACTAAGGGTCATGGTTTCCTTTACTGAATCAATCCATCTCATGTTGGGTCTTCCAGTTTGGTGTAGCCAGTTTGGTGTCGTGGTTAAGTGCGCGGACTCTAATCTGGGAGAACCGGGTTTAATTCCCCACTCCTCCACTTGCACCTGGCTGGATGACCTTGGGCAAGCCCTAGTTCTGTTCTTGAAAAAGAGCAGTTTCTGTCAGAGCTCTCTCAGCCCCATCTACCTCACAGGGTGTCTGTTGTGGGGAGGAGAAGGGAAAGGAGATCGTAAGCCGCTCTGAGATTCCAAATGAAGGGCAGGGTATAACTCCAATCTCTTCCTCCTCCTCGTCTTCTCCTCCTCCTCCAGTTTGGTATGAGAGCCAGTTTGGTGTAGTTGTTAAGTGTGCGGACTCTAATCTGGGGAAACCGGGTTTGATTCCCCACTCCTCCACTTGCAGCTGCTGGATGACCTTGGGCAAGCCGTAGTTCTGATTAAGAGCTGTTCCTGAAAAAGAGCAGTTTCTGTCAAGAGCTCTCTCAGCCCCACCTACCTCCCAGGGTGTCTGTTGTGGGGAGGGGAAGGGAAAGGAGTCTGTAAGCCGCTCTGAGGCTCCTTCAGGTAGTGAGGGGCGGGGTAGAAATCCAATCTCTTCTTCACTTCAGGCCACAGAGATCAGTTGCCCTGGAGAAAATGGCTGCTTTGAAGGCTGAACTGTACGTCAGCCAGTTTGGTGTGGTGGTTAAGTGCGCGGACTCTAATCTGGGAGAACCGGGTTTGATTCCCCACTCCTCCACTCGCACCTGCTGATGTGACCTTGGGCAAGCCGTAGTTCTGATCATCTAGTTCTGATAAGAGCTGTTCTTGAAAAAGAGCAGTTTCTGTCAGAGCTCTCTCAGCCCCACCGACCTCCCAGGGTGTCTGTGGTGGGGAGGGGAAGGGAAAGGAGTCTGTAAGCTGCTCTGAGGCTCCTTCAGGTAGTGAGGGGTGGGGTAGAAATCCAATCTCTTCTTCACTTCAGGCCACAGAGATCAGTTGCCCTGGAGAAAATGGCTGCTTTGAAGGCTGAACTGTACGTCAGCCAGTTTGGTGTAGTGGTTAAGTGCGCGGACTCTAATCTGGGAGAACCGGGTTTGATTCCCCACTCCTCCACTTGCACCTGGCTGGATGACCTTGGGCAAGCCGTAGTTCTGATAAGAAAACTGTTCTTGAAAAAGAGCAGTTTCTGTCAGAGCTCTCTCAGCCCCACCGACCTCACAGGGTGTCTGTTGTGGGGAGAGGAAGAAAAAAGGAGTCTGTAAGCCGCTCTGAGGCTTCTTTGGGTAGTGAAGGGCAGGGTATAAATCCAATCTCCTCCTCCTCCTCCTCCTCCTCCTCCTCCTCTTCTTCCTCTTCTTCTTCTCCTGCTGCCTCCAGCTTTTCCTAGCATTATTGCCCTTTCCAATGACTCTTGTCTTCTCATAATGTGACCCGAGTACGATGGCCTCCGTTTAACTTGTGCCCTGGAAATCTCGTTGGTCTCTAAGGTGCTGCTGGACTGGAGTCGTGCTCTTCTGCTGAAGAGCAGCACAGCTACCCACTTATCGTCTGTGCAAACACCATATAAACTTATTATTTAAAAACGTATCATGTGTGCACCTAATTTAAATGAAATACGCAAAACCAGCCATGAATTTATCTATTGGTTTAATTGGCACATTTCTGCGCTGCCTCCCCAGAGCATCTGCTCAAAGTGCAGAGGAGCCTGCAGAAAACCAAAACTGCTACAATATATATAGGAATATAAGAAGAAGCAAACAAGTAGACATTCGCTTATCCTTAGCGGAAAGGAGACTGGGTGGTGACTCGCCCCGTCTCCGTTCTGACATCCCCAGCGTTTCCTCCCCGTTTAAAGTGTCGCTATTTGCAAACAGCTGCTACCCTGGAGAGGAAGTTCCGCCGCGATTCCCTCTTCTGCCCCGACGAGCTAGACTCCCTTTTCTCGTACTTCGACACCGGCGCTGGATCTGGGCCACGCAGTAAGTAAAGCTAAGCTGTCCCTGGCTTTGCACTGGCTGAGCTTTTCCCTTCCGCCTCTTCCAGGGTTTTGAGTTGCGACGAGCGAAAAATAATTGAACACAACCAAAGCGAGCGAGAGAACCAGTCAGTTATTTTTCACCAACCTCAACCTATAGCCTTTTATTTCTTTTTTTCTTCATTGCACCGTTATCATTTTTCGGGAGGGGTGCTTTCTATTTTGCTGGCCTGGGCTTCTTTTTCTCCACCCCCTCCCCTTTTCTCGCCAAACCTTTGCAACGGGCCGCTTTTCTTTCCCCCCCTTCTTTTGGTCCTTTAAAGGGAGACAAGATGCTGATTGCTGCATTTTTAAAAAAGAAAAATGTGCCTGTGACAATGAACTCCCCTCACATTCCGTCCACCTTCCTCTTAGGTAGCAACCACATCTCTATGCAGCAACCCCCGGCAGCCGGCCCCTGGAGTGACAGTGGCAATGGTCCCGGTAGGAGCGGTTCGCCGTTCCTCCTGGACGGAGGTAAGGGGATGCCTTAGCAGCGCAGCGTTGGCGAGAGACTCGCGGCCACCTTGAAGGGTAGCTATTAGCTGTGCTGAGCGGAGCATCCATATTCAGAGGCAGTGTACCCATGGGTTCCAGAGGCTGGGGACAAACAGCTTTCATGGCCAGCTCAGGAGCGTTCCAGCAGCATTTGGCTGGCTGTTCTTTCAAACCAGCTGCTCGACTAAATCATCTGATCCATCAGAGTTTTTCTTACGTTCCTGTACCTCAGCTTATGGTGAAACAAAGTGTGATTCCAGTGGCACCTTTAGGACCAAAAATGTTTTATTCAAGGTACAAATGGTAACCATGTAAACGAAACTTGTTATTCCTGTTTGGTCTGTTATACATATTTGTTCTGTTGTATGCTAATTTTGTGCCCACCCCCTACCTATATGTATGGACTTGGGGATTTCCATTTCAGCGTATCTGAAGAAGTGTGTGTGCACACAAAAGCTTATACCTTGAATAAAAATTGGTTTGTCTTAAAGGATGCCACTGGACTCAGACTTTGTCCTGCTGCTTCAGACTAACATGGCTACCCACCTGAATTTAGCTCATGGGGTTAGCTCACACGTGCACACTAACGATAAAGACCAGAAGGTGATCTAGTGTTTCGACCTGGTATCGGGATCATACATACTAGTACCAGGGCTCTTTTTGTAGAAAAAGCCCAGCAGGAACTCATTAGCATAATAGGCCACACCCGACAGCAGGAACTCATTAGCATATTGGGCCACACCCCTGACAGCACAGCTCATTAACACATTAGGCCGCACCCCCATGTTACCAGAAGTGTGGTTATCCAGCCACACCCACCTTTTGCTTGTTATTCTGTTTACCTTGTTTGTGGTCAAAACTCAGGGCCTTTTTTTGTAGCAGGAACTCCTTTGCATGATAGGCCACACACCCCTAATGTAACCAATCCTAATGCGTTTCTGCTGTTGGGTGTGGCCTATTATGCTAAGGAGTTCCTGCCGGGCGTGGCCAACTCGGGAGCCAGCCGGAACTCCGTTCCTGTGCGTTCCTGCCCCAAAATAGCCCTGCATACTACAAAGAACAGCTGTCACCTTGAAGCCCTGCTTGTTCTCTAGAAGCCTCTCATTATCTTCTTTCATTAACCGATTGCTGGCTTAGGTAGACCCACAGTCTCAACCAGCAAGGCCGGTATTATATTCTTATAAAGGATGAGATGCTTTTACAGCAGGTATAGCTGTCAGCAGCTAGTAGCCTTGATAATTAAATGGAATCTCTGCATTGAAAGGTACTATAGTTTGCTGGGGACCAGGCCATTTGCTTGTGGAACACCTGGATGCTGAACTACATGGTGCTTTGGTCAGATCTAGCAAGACTGTTACTAGGTTCTTAAAACGGGTTAGACAGACTTGCAGTCGTTTCAGTCAGAATCTATTAACTGCTAGCTAAGAACGGAATCCCTGTGCTTGGAAACAGTGTTATCTGAATTCGAGAGGGCAGAAATTCGGTTAAATACAGAGCCCGAATTGTCTAATGCATAACGAATTCCCAGAATAAAGGTTCGTAATTAATTTCAGCAGTCTAGCAGGTAAATGAGCAGCATAAAGCTTGTTCCATAAACGTGAGTGAGAGACCAAAAAATATCTTCTTGGCATGTGGCTTATGGGCAGTTAAACTTGAACAAAGTGAGAGTGAACGTTAATACGAGAGGGGGCAAATGGCCGACTAGAATTTTTTGTCTTTATGCCCGGCCGGTGGGCTTTCAGGGGTCATCTAGCTGTTGGGACCAGGATGTTGGGCTATATGGACCCTTTGATCTGGCAAGGCTGCTCTTCCATCCTTGTGCCTTAGTGCACATGTGTTAAGATAGTTCATGCATACACATTAAACAGCAAGAATGCTGCTGATGGGTTGATCTGATCTTGTGAAAGGATGATGGGGTAGACCTTAAGAACATAAGAGAGGCCATGTTGCATCAGGCCAAGGGACCATCCAGTCCCACACTCTGTGTCACACAGTGGCCAAAACCCAGGTGCCCTCAGGAGGTCCACCAGCAGGGCCAAAACTCCAGAAGCCCTCCCACTGTGGCCCCCCAAACACCAAGAATACAGAGCACCACTGCCCCAGACAGAGTGTTCCATCTATACCTTGTGGCTAATAGCCACTGATGGGCCTATGCTCCATATGTTTCTCCAGTACCCTCTTGAAGCTGTCTATGCCTGTAGCTGCCACCACTTCTTGCATCAGTGAGTTCCACGTGTTAATTACCTTCTCTGCTTTTGGGTTTCCCAGAGGTAGCTGGTCGGCCACTGTAGGAAACAGGATGCTGGACCTTTTGTCTGGTCCATCAAGGCCATTTTTACATTCTTCAGTCCCCACAAAGGAAGAGCTAGTTGGAAAACTCAGCAATCAAAGGACCTCACTAGTTTGCTGCTGAATGGGGATTTGTGGTCTGTGTTTCTTGAGCAGGTGTCCTGCACCGTGTCTCATGAACTCAGGGGATTTTCTAAAACAGATAATGTTATGGTGTGAGGAGGGAGGGAGGGAGGAGATGTTTGAGACTGAAGGGGGGAAAGGCCAAAAACCCAAGTAAGTTTTAAGTAGCTTTTGGGATCCTGGACTGAAAACTTTGCAAAACTGGTGGGGAGGGATGATCCCAGACGAGCCCCCAGAGAAGGGCATGGAAAGCATCAGAGAAATACCCCGATTGGCCCCCCAAAAAAATGCTTCTTAATGCTTTCTCAGTGGGTTTTTCTGCATTCTCGTTTTACTCACTAAGTTCCTGTCCCGTTGAAGTTTTCTTTCCAGTTCCACACATGTTTTCCTCTCTTTAGTGGTCGATTTGATATCGTACAGGTTTAAACTGCAGGGGGATGTGCTGGAAATAAACCTGTCTGATATCGAATCGACCACTAGAGGGCGCAAAACTGGTGCAAAACATTAAAACCCCCTGAAGAAGAATGTGGAAAAGCCCAGTGTCAGGAGAGCCTCCTTGAAGGATAAAGCATGAAAATTACATTTGTTCATTCAGTGGTGTTTGTATATTGCTGCGCTATCAAATATTTTGGGTAACCACCCAAGGGAAAACTGAAGACGCTGACCTGCAGCAGTGTCTTTGGCCATCCCAGCTTGTCCTTTTTGGCTTCTCCATCTGCAATATCCTGGTGCTTTTAGACCAAATGTCTAATACTAATTATTTATTTATTTATTTATTATTTAGATTTTTATCCCGCCTTCCCCGTAGGCTCAATACTACTAATAATAATGTTTGATATATCCATGACTTACTGGCTTTTTAATGATATCCAATGCAAACGCTGTATAGCCTACCTAGAAACCAGGGAAGACAAAGAAGCATTGGATTTCCCCTTATGACATCATAACCCTGTCCCTAAGCACCCTGGGGTAGATTGTACCCTCGTTTAGTTCATCTCAGTCCCCTTTCTGATTTCATCAGTGGTTGTTTGCTAGGGGGACAAGGCCATTTGCTCCCAGCAGGGGGTGCACTTGCATCTTCATGTGTTAGTGGTGGGAGGGAGTGGGCAGATGGGTACCCCTGAGTCCCCACATATTAAAATGCACTTGGTTTGTCTCTTGTTGGCCCCGCAGGTCTGAGCAGCGACAGTGGGCTCGGGGGCAGCACCGACGGTAGCACCGACGTCCTCGTGTTTGGCTCAGTAGTAGACAGCGTCACAGAGGAGGGTAGGTGCATAGATTCTGTCTAGCAGGGGGTCATTTCGTAGAAAAAGAGGTGCAGGAGCTCATTAGCATAACTCATTAGCATAACTTATTTGCATATGCCACCCCCCCTGACATCACCGGAGGTATGTCAGTAGGCAACCCCCACTACTCAGGCTCCACTGGACTGTTTTGGATTGCTAGCTAAGGGGGGGGGACGTTCAGATCTGTCCTCGCAGAGGAGGGAGAGCTTGTACCTGAATAAAACTTGGTCTTAAAGGTGTCACTGGACTGTTTTGGGCCGGGGGGGGAGCTCTGCAATTTACCTGGCTGCTTCTTGTTCTGACTGAGGGATGCTGGGAGCAGGGGGTGGGGCTTGTTGCATGTGCCCGCCCCCTGGGCTCTTTACTGCCGGAGCTCCGCTCCTGTGCGCTCCTGCAGGAAATGACCCCTGCGTCTAGCTGAGCATTGTTAATGCTAGCAGCGGTACCTCAGGGCCCTAGAAAAGAAAGGCCTTTCCCAAGACCTGAGATCCTGGAACTGGAGATTGCAGGGCCTGTGACATTCTGCGTGCAAAACATGTGCTCCCTCACCTCGCATGCAAACAGATGTCTGAACTTCATAGGTCGTCCCTGACGCCCTCTTATCGCAATTTTTCCTTCTCCCCCTCCCGTCGACACAGAATGCGAGGTGTCAGAAGAGTCCAGCGGAGAAGCCGAAATCGAGCAAGAGGCTTCTGACCTGGAGGACCTGCGGGAGCTGCACCCCGGCTTACTGGTTTACAAGGCAGCACGGGCCAGGAACCTGCCTGTTATGGCAGAGGCACTAGCCCATGGCGCCGACGTCAACTGGGTGAACGACGAAGATGAGAACAAAACCCCGTTGATCCAAGCTGTAATGGGGGTAGGAAATCTCTGTGGTCACGCAAAAGCCAGATGTGAGAGTTCGGTCTTGTGCAGTTATCATCGCTGTTTCTGCTGCTGTTTCCTGATCCGTACACATGCTGCTTTACAAGAAGAATCCCTACTCAGTTTTGGGCTCGTTTGTTATTAATGGTTGTGGAAAGTACCATCAAGTTGTTGCCTGCTGCCCTGACCTGGATAGCCCAGGCAAGCCCGATCTCATCAGATCTCGGAAGCTAAGTAGGGTCGACTCTGGCAGGTACTTGGATGGGAGACCTCCTTGGAATACCAGAGGCATAGGAGGCGGAGGTGCACTTTATTCAGCCACCTCTCTGAATATCCTCCAGGCCCCCAGTAGGGTCAGTCACCAGAGGTCACCATGACTTCCAGGTCCACATGCACACACACGTGCACATATGATTTCCCCCCCAAAAAAAACTGTTGCCTGCTCATGGCATCCCCCCCCCATAGGGTTTTCAAGATGAGAACAGTGGCGGTTTGCCATTGCCTGCCTCTGCACAGCGACCTTCGACTTCCTTGGTAGTCTCCCATCCAAGCAGTTACCAGGGATGACCATGCTTATCTTCCAAGATCTGACAAGATTGGGCTAGCCTGAGCTATACAACTCAGGGCGTTGTTAATAATGTCTCGGGGGGAGGGGGGGAACAGAAGGCAAATCAAAATGACAAAGTTTATTTATTTATTTATTTAATTTCATTTATACCCCGCCCTCCCCGCATGTGCTTTGTTTTAGTACTTTGTTTTTACCCAGGGCTTTTTTTGTAGAAAAAGCCCAGCAGGAACTCATTAGCATAATAGGCCACACCCCTGACAGTGCAGCTCATTAGCATATTCGGCCACACCCTTGCCTTTCCTTGGTTTGCCCGGGCGCCCTGTGGCTGCGGGGAGCCCGGGCAAGCCAACCCTTGGACAGGTCAGGGAAGGCACGGGGAGGCATTTAAATGCCTCCCCGATCCTTCCAGGGCCCCCCTGGCCCCCCTGCCTCAAGAGTCACCGGGGGAGTCACTCTCCAGGCCTTCCCTCTGTAGCCACGCACACAGACGTTTTGGCTGTAGTGAGCGTGGCCAACTCTGAAGCCAACCGGAACTCCGTTCCTGTGCGTTCCTGCCAAAAAATAGCCCTGTTTTTACCTATTTAATTGTTCTAGGTTGCCCCAAAGAATCTCGGGAGCTATACTTTTGTCAGGATGCCAAGAGACAGCCAGTACCCCCCTGTGCAGGACTACAGTTCCAAGGGTCCCTTGGGGGAGAAGGAATGACATGAAACCTGTTTGAGTCAGTTGAGACACCCAGAACGATGTCTTAATTTCTCCCTCCATTTCCAACAGGGCTCCTTGATAGCCTGCGAATTCTTGCTCCAGAATGGAGCGGATGTTAACCAAAGAGATATCCGAGGGCGTGCACCTCTGCACCACGCAACGTATTTGGGCCACACTGGGTAAGTCAGTCATTCCACATCCTGGTCAGGAGCAAATGATGTTTATTAAGGCCCGGTGGGGGGGAAGTAAAGATCAAAACCCATTTGGAGACAAGTCCATCCGCCTTTCCCGCAGATATGGCTGATAACGAGTCCTCCCATATACCGAGTGGATCGGTTCACTTTGTTATGTAGAATCATTTGCTCTACTGCAGGCCTTTCCTAGACATGTCTATCTGCTTTTTCTTACGAGATAACAAATGTAGGTTCCGTTTTAGGGATGACTATATTTCCGCCACTCTGTTCTGTTATTTTGCCCGAATTTTTGTTCTGCGTCGAATTCGACTTGACGGGATGATATTTCCTCTGACCTGGATTGTTTTTATGTTTGGCAGTCAGGTCTGCTTGTTCCTGAAGCGGGGAGCCAATCAGCACGCAGTCGACGAGGATGGGCAGGACCCTCTCAGCATCGCGGTCCAGGCCGCCAATGCGGACATTGTTACCTTGTAAGTGGATCTAGGCCCTTTCATAAGCTCTGGCTCCAGCCTGGTGGAACACTCCCCCAAATGAGATCAGGGCCCTGCGAGACCTATTACAGTTCTGCGGGGCTTGCTAGACCAAGGTGTTCCGCCCAGGGCTCCCTCTAAGCTGAGTTAGTGTGAGCTAGCTCACAGTTTTTTAGCCTCCAGCTCACACATTTTTGTCTTTGCTCAGGAAGGGATGGCTCCAGAGCAAACCAATTTATGCAGTGGCCAAATCACTCGCCCACCACTTTAATGCCCGTAGCTCAAAAAGGAGAATTTCTGCTCAAAGGACTCCACGGCTTAGAGGGAGTATTGGTTCTGCCAGGCCCGTGGTTGAGGCAGCAGATGTCCAATGATGTCGGCCTCCCCTGCTCTGCCTAGGATCACGTATTTGTTGGCTGGGGCTGGCCCACTTACTCAGGTCTTGGATCTTACCGAGCCACCCATACTGATAGTTAACCCAGGGATTTTATGAATTATATGCTGATTGCCATCTGAAGAAGTGAGCAGTGACTCACGAAAGCTCCTACCCTGCCACAAATCTTATTAGTCTTTAAGGTCCTACCGGAATCTTGCTCTTTTCTGCCGCTACAGACAGACTAACACGGCTACCCGTAGTGTTGTAATATGTTCAATTAGTCATTTGGTGTTTTTAATGGTTTCAGTTATTATATAATTGTTTATAATCGTTGCCGTAATTCACCCCGAGTGCTGCTGTGCAGGGTAGGGTGGACTAGAAGTAATAATAACGACGACAACAACAACTGCAACAACAATAATAGAACCCCATCTGGCTCGCTGTGGCCCGATGGTTTGACCTTTACAGCCTCTACATCAGTACAGGAGGCCTTGCCTCCCATGCCTTACCACTGAAGGTGAGAGAGGCTGGCAAATAGGAGAGGTAGAGAGCAATACTCCCTCTAAGCTGTGGAGTCCTGTGAGCAAAAATTCTACTTTGTGAGCTACTGGAATTAAAGTTGTGAGTAACCCATTTGGCTACCACATAAATTAGTTTGCTCTGGAGCCATCCCTTCCTGAGCTACAACAAAAATGGCTGAGCCGGAGGCTAAAAAATGGTGAGCTAGCTCACACTAGCTCAGCTTAGAGGGAACACCGGTAGAGAGGGCATCCGTTACATTCTGGGATCAGCAGACGCAATCTGCGAGAGAAGAGGAAGGGGAAGTAAGAAAATTTAGAGGCGGCACTCATCCGCCAACAACCGGAGTGAAATCCCTTAACCAGCTGGTGTTGTCCCTTGATTCTATCATTAGCCATACATCCCTGCCTGGTCATTTTTGCTCAGCCAAGGCAGAGGCGACCGAATTCTTAAGCCTCATGGAGTTGCTATCCGTTTTTTTACTTACCATGATGGAATTCAATAACAAATCTGGAGCATCCCATTTGGGCAGGACAAGGCAAAGAAATTTACAGGAAGAAGGATTAGGAGTTTCGATCCAGCCACCAAAATTGCACAGAGGAATTCCAAGATTCAGGGCCTGGGGACCATGGGAAACATGACAGCAGGTTGTTAAATAAGCTGTGCCGTGAGCGTCTTCCGTGGCCTCTCACCCCCACTGGACGTCCTGATGGGAATCTGGGAGCAGATTGCTGAGCGGAGTCACACCCTTCTGAACTCATTGAAGTCCATGGACTTGGAGGGGTGTAACTGCTCGGGATTGTATTGTAAGTCTGTTGGGAAAACGCCCTGTGTAACAGGGAAAAGTCTGCCCGGAGCCTGCCTTGGCGGAAAGGGTGGGGTACAAATCTAACAAATAAATAAATAATAAGGCAAAGACATGCCATCAGCGCCAGATTTCCCCTAAACGAAATTTCGAGACAGGTTTCGATGCTGCAAACTTAAAGAAAGATTCCAGTAAATTCAGGTGAAGCCCAACACATAGGCTCGATAGTGGCTAGTTCTCACAGAAGCAGTGAACCCACATCTACAGGTGTGCGCTATACTATGTAGCCCTGCATATAGAAAATGAGCACGTAAGGGGAAGAATTCTAACCTAGCCTTCTCCCTAACATGCTACTTTTTTCGGTGTGGGGTGTGTGTTTGTCTACAGTGCCGTCAAGTCGCAGCTGACTTACAGCGATCCCAGCAAGGAGCTTTCAAGGCGAGTGAGAAGCAGAGGGGGTTTGCCATGGCCTTCCTCTGCAGAGCCTTCCTTGGTGGATTCCCTTCCAAGTACCAACCCTGCTTAACGTCCAAGAGCTGACGAGATTGAGCTATACTGTGCTGCCTTCTCTACCATTTTCTGTTTAGAGAAAAATACTTCATTCATTCATTCATTCATTCATTCATTCATTCATTCATTCATTCATATGAAGGAGCATTCAGTTATGTGTGCCACAGTCTGCAGTCTGAAGTTGTGCATCCCAGATGCAGATTTGCAGCTTCTGGGAGTGCTAGGCCAAAGTTTATTGGTTACTCCTAGTGCAAGAGAAGAGGGAGAATAGAGATAAGCTTGCCTATGTAGTTTTTCCCTCCTGCTGTGGCACATCCAGAGCCCTAATATGACTGCCATAGAAGCCTAGAAGGTTCATCAGTAGGGTTGTTGATCCCAGGTTCGACATCAGGGATCGGCGTTGTCTAGAAGCATACGGGTTCCCAGGAGGACCCGCTGCTACTGATCCCTGACCCGCTACCGTGAAGCAGCAGACGGTAGACATCGCAGGCACCTCTCTGTCTCCATACGCCTAAGAGGGAGGGCGTGCATACATGCAAGCGAGAGGTCCTCTTGCCCTGAGCACCCCGAAACCCGGAGCCTTTCCTGGTTATTCCCACCAAGCGCGTCAAGACTCACGAAAGCCTTTCCTCATTGTTTCTCACAGGTTGCGTCTGGCTCGAATGAACGAAGAGATGCGTGAAGCCGAGGGTCCCTTTGGTCATCCAGGTCAATATCCCAACAACAGCCCCACAGAGCTCCAGTACCGAAAGTGTATACAGGAGTTCATCAGCCTTAACATAGATGAGTGTTAGTGACGACTCCCGCAACCCTGCTGCCTCCTCTTCCTCCTCTTTTGGGTCGAAATTTAAGGATACCGACCGAGCCCAGGAAAAAAACAAAACTGTTAGATGTGTGTCTTGGGGGTGGGGCGGGCTTTGCCAGTGGAAGGTCTCGATTCTGGTAGCTTAAGAGCGGATCAGTGGAAGGCCGCACGGAAAGAGAGCGAGAGAGAGCGAGAGAGGGAGGAGGGAGAACCTTTAAAATAAATATATATGTACATTTACATATCTGGGTCTAGAGAAGGCTTCTGTTTTGGACGTGCAGGCAGATTCGCTTTGGGAGAGGGGCGGATCGGGGCTCAGACACAAACCGTGGCATGCAAGTTTACAAAGGTTGAGGGACCATCGAAAGCGTGAGAATAGGAACCACACACACCCCTTCCCATGTACACTTTTGGGGGGTCGACAGTACCTGCTGCTTAGAAAACAATTCGAACCTTGTTATCAGGCATAAAAACAGGATCCAGGGAAACCGGGGGGGGGGGGAGTTATCCATATATATGGGGAAAGAATCAGGATAGGAACTGAACCAGACACCCTCTGAGGTGGACTTCCTTCTCTGTCTCTCTTGTGCTCTTCTCTCGCTTTTCTCTAGCATCGGGGGCTGTCAGTTTGCGACTGGACTGCGGAAGGGGTTGAGACTGTTTGATGCAAAAACCACTGGGTGGTTTGGAATCGAATGCATTTGTCTGCTCTCCTCTTTAGAGTGTGGCACTGATGGGGCTTGGCGGGGCTGGTGGTGGATCTGTTTGCCGTGTACCACCCGTGGGCTGTAGTTCTTGGATTGAGAGGCATGGTTGCCCAACTTACATCCTCTCAGGTTAATGCTAGTAAATGCTTCCTCTCGTTTTTCTTTTCCCTTTTTAAAAAATTTTCAGAGGGGTAAGCTTAGCTGGTCAAAGCCATAACTCAGCCGCTTCCAAGATAAGGATGCAATCCTTTTAGGGTGAAGACACGTAATATTTGTAGAGCAGTGAGGCCGGTGTGGAAGCTTCAGGTCCAGTACAAATCTACCCTTTCCTTTTCCCATCATGCTCTGAAAAATAAAGTTGTGCAACTTTGTAAAACAATTCAGATGAAGAAAGGCACGGATTGGCTAGCACTCATGGTGTTGCGAAGACCACCTCCCGCATAATCCTGGAGCAGTTTGGAATCTGGTTTTAAAATGTTCCTGTGTAAAGGATAAATGTAGATGAACAAACCAGTTGGTAGCCTAGAGACAAAATTACTGCAAAATTGTTGTCGCCTAATTCTCACTGTGCCGGTCAACCTGTGTCTGGGCCGTCCCATTTTGGATTGCTGGCGGGGGCTCACAGGACTACTCCTTTGTGCAAAACGTTTCCCTGCACAGAGAAAACAGTCCTATCAGGGGGAAAGGGTCTAGCCTCGTTTTCTATGTACATGGAACTGCTTTGTATGAAGCGGCACTCAATCATTCATCTTTTAAAGATTTTGTTTCTGAAAACACAGATCGTCCGGCTGAAACACATGGGAAGGGCAAGGACTGACTCTGCAGCAAACACAAAAGAGGGAATTTCCATCATGCAAATTGGGATGGGCAAATGCCCCTCGGCTCAGTTCTGAATTGGCTCATTATTTACGAGCTTTCTCAAAGGAAACCTCACGCATCTTCTGGGCGTTCCCTCCCAGCTCGATGTGTAATAGAACCGAGCATATCCAAACATAGCATTTACAAAATTCAGCAACGTAACCGAACCGGCCATGATCTCTCTTTAAATGTTACGCCTGTCTTCATCCTGAGACTTACCAAAGCGGTGAGGCTTGGAACAAGAGGCTCATCGCCGGCGATGGGTTTTTGTTTTGTTTTGTAAAACACACCCAGGGAGAACTGTAGGGTCACCCTCCTCTAGCCTTTCAGGGCTCAATGCAACAATTTACCGGAGCACACCAGGGGATTTATATTCCTAAATCACGATGGATTTCCTACTTAAACTCTTTTGGAGAAGGGGATCGCTGTTTGCATGCACGTCCTTACGGAGACTGTGATTTCCCCCTCTCACCAATGCATGACTGCAGAGGGCTCAACGAATCTGGATTTCTCGGATTCCGGGATTAGGGATATTCGGGGGAGGGGAACAGGGAGGTGTGGGTGGGAAGGGTTATTTATTTATTATGCTTTTTGCTGGAGCGGGACCCGTTCTTACTCTCCGAGTAACTTTGGGGGTGTTATGGTCTTTGTCAGAAGAGAGACCAGGATTTGCTTCAGACTTAGAAGTAGGTCATTTCTTTGACAATTGTGTATAAAGAGTGGCAGTTAACCCAGGCGAGACTATGGCAGGGCGATTGGATCTTACAATGTCCCTTCAAGGCAGAGAAGATGGATGACTTGATACCAGCTGGCGAACTCCACTGGGCATCTCAGCTGGATTAAATTATCTCCCTCCTCTGGAAAGAGCTGTCGAGTCACAGCCGATTTATGGCAACCCCCGTAGGGCAGGGGTCCCCGACCTTCTTGAGCCTGCAGGCGCATTTGGAATTCCGACACAGCATGGTGGGCACAGTAACAAAATGGCTGCCACAGGAGGCGGAGCCAGCCACGGAATGATTGCCACAGTTTAACTTCAGTCACAACATATAGATCCTTGTGCTGTGGTGGCAGCTGCCGCCAAAGCAACATTATAAAAATCCACACAGCCAATCAGATCTCCAGCGACCAATCAGAAGCCTTGCTGGGCGAAAGCCCTACCTGGCCCCACCCACTTCCTAGAACTACTTGGCGGGTGCCAGAAAAAGTGTTGGTGGGCACCATGCTGCCACGGGCACCAGGGCTATTTTTGGGCAGGAACGCACAGGAACGGAGTTCCGTCTGGCTTCAAAGCTGGCCACGCCCACTACAGCCAAAACCTCTGCATGTGTAGCTGCAGAGGGAAGGCCTGGAAAGCGACCCACCCCCCATTTAAATGCCTCCCCGGCCTGTCCAAGGGCCGGCTTGCCCGGGCTCCCCGTAGCCACGGAGCGCCCGGGCAAGCCAAGGGAAGGCAGTTTAAACTGCCTTCCCTTCCCTTCAAGGGGGGGCTTTCCCAGGTTACCCGCAGCCGCGGGGAGCCAGGAAAGCCGAGGAAAGGCATAGGGGTGTGGCCTAATATGCTAATGAGTTTCTGCTATTGGGTGTGGCCTATTATGCTAATGAGTTCCTGCTGGGCTTTTTCTACAAAAAAAGCCCTAACGGGCACCATGTTGGGGACTCCTACAGTAGGGTTGCCTCTGTGTCGTGACCCTGGACTTCCTTGGTGGTCTCCCATCCAAGTCCTAACCAGGGCCATCCCTGCTCAGCTTCCAAGATCAGGTTAACCAGGGCCATCCTCCACCCTCCCTGTATTCTGTCATGTCTGGGTTGTCCCCTTTCCAAATGCCCTGGTAGAAATCCAGGGGCTCCTTGGGAGCTACAAGAGATGCCATTGTCTCAGATCGACGGTTCTTACTGTCTCGACTCAGATTTTCAGCGGAAAGGGTCGGCGCAGAGTCACGAACAGTTGTGCCCGAATCCAGATCTGAAATGTTCCAGGTCTGGTCTGTTGCTGTTTGTTGCCAGAACAGGACCCAGGGAGGCAAACTGGGAGCAGCGTGAGGCCTAGAGCTGCAGGACGTTCTGTTCTGTTGACCAGGCGAAGGTGACGCAGGCGGTGCTCTAAATATTTACACCAGGCCCGCCCAACCCAGAAGCTGCATACTGCCCACCCATCGTATGGCTTGACCTTGTGTATCCCCATCCCCTTCTGAGCCTTGAGCGCAGAGTCCTGGGTAGGTTACGGTTGCAGTCCTAGGCGTGCTTCTTTGGAAGTATGTCCCATTAAGCAAAAACAGGACTTCTCTGTAAGTAAGCTGTGCATCCTAGCCTAAGCCGTGAGGTTGCCGATTGTCCCGTTTCGGTCATTCCCACCTGCAGCTGTATCCAACCAATGGCCATCGGGCCATCGTCATGTGGCCTGGGCAGCCCCACCCCCTTTCCTCATACCCTAAAGGCACTTTCTCCTTGCACCTAGAGATGACATCATCCTCTTTTATGTAATCTTGCATGACCCTAACCCTGAGTTACTCACTTCCCAGACTGGCTGTCTCCATGCCGTGTCACCTTTGGTGATTTACGTGGCAAGGCTGAAGGAGTTGTTGAGTGCTGTCTCTCCTCCCTGTCCTCCCCCCCCCAACCACACCAGGCAGTCTTGAGCCAAGCTTAAGTCAGCAATGATATACTGCTCCCACCTCACTAGAAACCACCTGCCCTTGATGAAGTCTGAGGAAAAGTGATAGTAATGGACGTACAGAAACCCTGTCTTCTCAGTCCTGACACAGGTGGTAATTCCTTCCTCAGTGGAATGAGTACACTCCTTCTTATCAAAGAACAGTGAATACAATCCTGCTTTGTTACACAGATGTTGGCCATCCACCCATCTTTCCTTACTTCTTTTCTGCTATGTTGCTACACTCTTCCTTTCCTGCCTTCTGGGCTTTTATGGATACTCATTGTCCTCGCTTGTAAGTTCCCATTTTGGGGGGTGGGTCCTGTCCCTCATTTATTTTGCTCCCTCCAGTGGTCGATTCGACATTGCATCGGTTTATGTCCAGCATAAAAACCTGAAGTTTAAATCTGCAGGGAGATATGCCGGGCATAAACCAGTGTAATATCAAATCGACCACTAGAGGGAGCATGTGCAGAACAGGAAAAAACCCTCTGAAGAAACAGGAACTTACAAGCAAGGAAAACGAGAAAGCTGAGAAGCCCCGCTGTCGTATATCACATAGCAGCATATTCTCTCTGTTACCTTTCCCCCCAACCCTTTCTCTGAGAAGCTCAGGGCTGCACCCCTATTTTCCCCCATCCCTGTGTTATCCTCACAACACCCCTGTGAGGTAGGGGTAGGCTGAGAC